GCTGAGCACCTTTCAGAACTAATTTCTGCAACATGGGGGAATGGCTTCCTCCTCCTGGGACTTACTGCCAGGGAAGGGGCCTGTGCTGCAAGGAGAGGTGGGGGACAAGGGATGCTGCTGAAGGGTGTGCTCCCAAACTGTGGTCCTGTGCCACAGACCTTATTTCTACATGTAAGTGGGCACCCCCCATCCCTATGCATTTAAGTACCTGTGCTCTGCCATGTGAGCCATGTTCATCGATTCCACGTTCCCCATCGTACAAGGCATCTCCTGCTGGGACAGGAGAAAGTCCAGTGTTAACTTAGAAAATCCCCGGGCAGACCAGACCTGGAGAGAAAGGCAGTTAATGACATGAAGAAAATAGACTTTCAACCCTCTCCTGGGGTTGAAACCAGGGCAGATACTGTCTGGAAGCAAATGTTGCTCTAACACCAAGAGACGTACAAAGTCCACTTGATGGCATTGCAAGCGGAACCCTTGATTGAGTCTTTTAATTTATTGCAGCCTTTTCAAGGAATCACCACTTATTTAATGCAGCCTGCTAACCCTGGGAGGGTGTACAAGGGCATAAACAGAGGAGCCTGCCACAGGGGAAGCAGTGCAGGAATCCTTGCTGTGGGTATTGCTGGGGCAAACTCAGGTATTGTGCACTAATGCAGGATATTGATAATGTCACCAAGAATTAAATTTGTGATCTCGAAGGGGCACAATTAAGATTAAGAGGATGTTTTGCTTTTTTTCCCTCCAACATTCAAACATGCCAAGGTTAAAACTGAAATAACTTTTAGACTATAATTGCTTTCACTTTTCTGCAGTTTTCTGAACAAATATCATAAAGTAGTCGGGTTTACTCCCTCTTTTTATAATGTGTTTCTCATGCCATTTAGCGCAGTCTAAATGCTTGTGCTCCCCCATGAACCCAGCAAATTGTTTACTTTTACTTTATAAAATCCCTTATTTTTGGTTTCTAGTCTTCATTTGCATTCATATTAGGTTTTTTAAAAAAATCAAAGAAACGTTTCACATGCATCTCTGAATTCAGAGTGGGTGAACCCCAAACCATTGTGGTGACACTGTGGGGTTACAGGGAATACTGTGTTAAGGAACTGTACTGAAGAGAGGAGCCAGGGAGAACCTGGCTTGTATCAAATTGGTAATCATGAAAATCAGGTATTTGTGCCAGATACTGCAGTGGAAATATCCTTTTATGTAGCAAGATTTGTGCCCAAGAGGCAATGTCAGAAATTTAGAAAAATCAAGCAATTGCAGAGGAATTGAGATGTTCGACTCAGCAATGAGAGAGTAGATGAAATGATGATTTCAAAGATGTTGTTACCATTACATTGTCTAATGAGTAAATCAGTTTAATTTAACCGCTCAAGCTGTTCAGGAGGGACAGTAACATAGAAGCAAGCCGTCTTCCTAGGGCTTCAGCCCACCTGAGCTTTTATTACATCAATAGCCTGTCCAGTGTTCCAAAAGATACAGCACATGCTTCCCAAGAAAAGCTAATGAAGTATCCCTTTTTTCCCCTCATTGTCTTCTGCACTCACACAATCAGAGATTTTGGGGTTTTGGATCATGCCCGCTGCAGCTGTACTGTTTGTTCGCCAGAAAGTGGGCATTTTCTCTAGCTGGCCTCCATCCAGTTGGCTGCCACCGCTGTGTACATGCCATTTGTATTCTGTTGTAAAAATGCCACGAGCTGAAGTTTATTTAGCAAAGTCATTCCTCTTGGTCTGAGATCTATGTTACGCAGTGAGGGAAAAAAAGATGTGAACTTTCATAGTTAGGATGTTATCAAAGACTTTTGATTAGACTGCAAAGCAGCAGAAGGACTTCCTTACTGATATTCCACCCCCAAGTTTTGGGTAAATGTTTTGCAATTTTTTGCCACCTACCAACTGGCAGAACAAAGAAAGGAATCCCACACATGACTCCATGCTGAAGAACTGGCACTGACTGCGCTTGCAACCCCACTTTTTGTTACTCATGATAGAGAGAAGACACCGAATATGATGCTAGATTGGGTCTTGCCAAATCACAGTTAGACAACTCAGGATGTTATCATTGCAAGCAGTCTGGAAAGCCAAAAATTGGCAATACAGAGCGGACCATTTGGCAGACAGTATGTCATTCTTGGAGCCCAAGTCTGTAATTATGTCCTGTGTCCTCTTGAGAGGAGTGCCAAAGTTCCAGTCTTAGCAGGTGGCTTGTAATTGAGTGGAAGAAAACAACAGGGAATAGTGACTGTAAGCTAAGAGCAAAAACATATATGTGGGCCCTGATAAAGTTCTAGAGTTAAGAGATGCAGACATGGGTGAGGGGATTATACGAAACCTAGATGAGAAAGCCCAGCTGGCTTGGTGGGAAAAATTATACCTTGGATGGGAGGAAACACTGCTTTTTTAAAAACATGCACTTAAACAATATGTTGGGTTAAAAATGAAAAAGGTAGCAGATTCAATATTAACATGATTTGTTGGTATAAAAGGTCAACATGATGCCTGGTGGGAAGAATTATACCTTGGATGGGAGGAAACTGCTTTTTCTAAATCATGCACTTAAACAATATGTTGGGTTAAAAATGAAAAAGGTAGCAGATTCAATATTAACATGATTTGTTGGTATAAAAGGTCAACATGATGCCTTAGAAGGGAAGGTGTGGGGCAAGCTGCATTGGGAGTTTTATTTGTTGGAGACTTCACATTTTCAAAGCTGGTTTTCGCTTAGAATGTCATGTCATCCATAAGAGAAAGCAATCGGGAGCGCGTGCCTGGCTTTTCATCCTCTACTGCTGATTTATCATATCAATTTGTCAAGTGATTTATTGTCTGGTCCTTTTGGAGGATAATTGTATCCATTCCCAAAAATGAAAAGCGGTTTAGAATTTCTAAATTTCTGTTTTAGAATAGCCTCGACTCTGGCTATTGCACACAGAGGGGCTGATTCAATGCCAAATTTTGGTTCATAATGAAGAATAAGGAAAATGTTGGGAAGTAAGGTGTCTGGCTACAACAGGGAATAAATTACCAACTGATGTCCCTGCCTTCTGGGTGCAGTGCATGTTCTGCTAATTTCCTGTGAGTGCGTTCTTTACACACTCAAGACTTGTTGCTATTTTTTAATAAGTCTCTCGGGCTAATAGCCACTGTTACTTGCCTTCAGTCTAAGGACTTTTTTAACCATCAGTTCTCATGAGACTTGTTCATAACAATCCTGTTTTTCCTTGTGTGTGTTATATACTGTGAATAAAGTTCTCTGAGAGGATAGGAACACTTCCTTAGCTATATCCCAAGCACTGAAATTTTCTCCTCCTCCTTTCTAGGGCAAGGAAAGAAACAGAGAAGTCTGGCTAAAAGTCTTCAGTTCCTTCTGTAGATATGCTCTTCCAGTGTTTGTCCACTCCTCTCTACTTGGGAGTGCTCCATCCGGAAAGACAGTCCTCTGCTCTTTTGTGTGCAGAATGGTTTCACCTCCGGCATCAGGCTGGCCGCTCCTCCTTTCCTTTACTGTAGCAGGAGCCAGGCTGAGCTGTAAGACAGATATTAACGCTCCAGAGTCTCCCTGCTAAAGCACACTCTGTGACCTGTTCATTTGAGTCCCCATGAGTGTCATCTTTCTGTCACCTTCTGTTGTGCTTGGCCGCTGCTGAGGCATCTCTTCACACACATTTACCTTCCAGTCACTACAGTTGGCTGCAGGGCCGTGAGTTGGTGATTTCTCTCCTGCATGTGACATTTCCTCACTTGATTTTCAAGTGTCTTTAGATTTAAGCCTTGAATGTTGGATTTTGCTTGTAGTTTGTGTCTGATGCCACCTTTTTCATTAGCAGTAATGTAGCAGTTCAGAAGTTACTGCACAAGCTTGGACTATTTCTGGAACCGATCTGTGTGTGTGCACAGCAGTAGGATTTTATGCAGCAAATTCCCTGCAGTCTTTTGGTATAAACTAGTATTTCTGCCTCAATAAAAGGTCGCAGATAAAACCAGAGCTGGATATTTAAATACCCAATGCCTTGAGACTCATCCCTATTGCTGCCACCACTCTCGGATTTATAGAGAGTAAAGTTGTTTGCTGGACAGTAAATATTAAAATGTGATTGTTTTAGCTATAGTCAGTCATTAAATATTACTGAGTTTTAGCAAAAGCTTTTCATAATGAACTAAATACTGCCATTGCATGTCTCTGCTCCTTCGTGTAAGCACAAACTTGTGTTCGCTTTCATGTAATTATGCTTTCTGGCTGTCAGAAGATGCAGGTTGCCGTAGCCCATAAACTTGGTGGTGTGTGGTTCTTTGGTGTGAGTGCAGCCCCTGTGCCACAGACCTCGTCTGAGCCTGTGGGGCAGAGTCACATCTTGCACACAATTACACTGCAAAGTGCAGCGAGCTTAGGAGGTTAGAAGAGGGAATGAGGTCCGTGCCTCAGACACGACGATAAAAAAACCCATGTTCAAGTTCTGTTTCTGAAAATCAGATGGGATCTCTGGGTTTTTGTTCTTTGAAAGACATTTCCCCCTTCCCACTCAATACACAGAAACGGAATTTAATACTTCCTTTGCTGAAAGGTGGGTAAGGTGTAGGAGTAGGCAGGACTTGATAGAAATTGCAGGAGATTGATCACCCCCTCGCCCACCAAGCAATGCCGGTATGGCCATCAGCACACCAGGAGGCTTGGTCAGTACAGCGAGGTTAGGCACCCATGGATTCAGTCACTGAAGCAGCCAGGGCTGTGGGAAGAATAATAGATCAGGCCAGAAGAGCATGAGAGGTAGAGAACCCCTGCCAGGCTGCTCATAGCATAAGTTGCCCAGGCTCCAGAGTGGCGTGTGGAAGGCTGAAGCATGTGAGGGACATTCAGCCTTTACCAAACACACTGTTCCATTTTAAACCTCATGCACATGTTCAGTGGGCGGTTGTTTAGGGAATCGTGTTCCCTCACCATTATCGTGTCTCTTTTTCATCTAAGTGACTAATTTTTTTGCCTTTCTCTCCTAGATCTCAGACCTGATACGACAAAGCACAAAGGAGTCCCCAGTCTGGGAGTTCCTCAGCTTGGGGTACGCACTCATGCTCTGCCCGTTTGTCGTTGTCCTAGGAGGGATGTTTTTCCTGGCCACAGCCCTCTTCTTCCTAAGTGACCGAGCCAAAGCTGAACAACAGTGAGTAACCTGGCAATTGCAAATGGGGAGGTACCGAAGCCTGTTTTCTCTCTTGAACGTTATGCTTGTATTCTTTCCCTGGCCTTGGTCCTTCAGGTAAAGGATGTCGGGTTGTGTGTTAAGAACCTCAGCTCAGCAGAGTGCATGAGGCTGCACGAAGCACAGGGGCTTGGGTCATGCTGGCTGGGCATCCTTTACACGCTTCTGCTCTGGTGGATCTCAGTTGTTGGCCGTACGGCCTGGAGGGGAGCACAGTATTTGGGATCATAGGCCCCTTTTACCCTTGCGTGAGCATGCCACAGCCCAGGCCGTCTGTGGTGAGGGGTTGCTGTGTGCTGGAACCGGTGGACTGCTAGGTGAAGAGCAAGAGATACTTTACAGAGCTTGGTGGTCAACGTTGAGCCCACAGTCCCGTCTCAGCCCCCTGTGCCCTGCTCACGACCTCCAATACACAGGAACATCAGGCAAGAAGGAAGCAAGCTGTGTGTGGGGACATACATGCTCAAGGGTCGCTGTAATAAAGATAGGCTTTCCCAGTCCCTTATTGCAGCTTGTAAAAAAAAAGCTACTGTTTTTCAGTAAAGAAACCGATTCGGACCACCTCACGGTTGGCAACTACAGTAATTCAGAAGACGCTTCCACATGACATACAAACTTCTGGGGTTAGTCTCTTTCTCATAATTGTCGAAAAATAAGAGTATCTATGTATAATGTCGTGCTGAATGTGTGGGTAGGTGCCTAGTCTGGTGTTGACTGTAAGTTGCCTTTGCCTTTCTCCCACTGGGAGAATGGGAGACATGCAGACATACAATGCAGACGTTAACAGCCTTTCATAATTCTGCAGATAAAGAGAGTAGAGTATACCTTGCTGTACCTTAAGGAGAAGGGCCCTGGCATATCACTGTCATTAGACATAGTACAACTAGAAGGAAAATAAGATGTTTGGAGGTTGACATAAGTGCGTGAACAATTTGGGTGATACTTTCTGGCTCACACTATCGTATCAGATGGATGCAAGAGATTTGGAAGCAGTGCCACAGATGGTGCTGTGGCCCTGTAAGAGCAGTTCCACCTTCCTTTTACTAACATGCACAAATACCAGGGAAAGGAAAGGTTTTCTGCCTCCTGGTGCCTTTAGAAATCTACATTCCCCCTATAATGAGATGTTTATACATTGTGGATAAAACAAGACCTCATCATGTATCTTGTAAGGAGGTTAGGTTAAGTCCTGCGCAGTTGAACTTCAGTGTGGCTTTGGAGATGTGACATGACGGATGTGTGCCTGGTTTGTTATCTGCATATAAGGGCTTTAAATTGCAAGGAGTGAAATTGGAGATTAGATGTGAGGAAGAACTTCCTAAGAGAAAAGAGAGGTAAATGCTGCAGCAGATTATTTAGAGAAGACATGAAAGCTGTCCTGTTTCTGAAGGCCTCGCTGGCTCGGTCTTGAGGCAGGAAGATGGGAATTACTCTCTGGCTGCTTCCAGTCCCACTTCTGTAATTGCACACATAAGCTGTACATGCAAATGTAACTAGTGATCACTTGGGGACATGGCAAGATGAACATAAGTTTCTAGGTGCTCAGGGTAGCTTTTTTTGCTGCAAGGAGCCAAAAGTTCTATTTGGTGACAAGGTAGTGATACGGTGCGGCAGATGAAATCCCCCTCGTGTAGCCGTAGCGTTAGCCTTCACGCAGGGCCCCCACCTCTTTCTAGGAAAACCTGTGTTTGTCTTCACTGTATTCGGAGTGGAGAGTGCTTGTCCTGCTTACAATTACGGTGGAGATATGTGTCCCCACGTGTGTTGCCAGCATGGCATGACAGCATCTCAGGTGGCGAAGGAGGATTTCAGTATTCAGTTACTGATGAATTCTGGGTCACTCCCAGCTTTATCAGCATGTCTAACCCCACCTGGACCTTTATACTGGTCAATGCACTGTAGCATCCAGCTGGTATCACGGCTCCAGCAGAGTTCTCAAGGAAGAGGGCTTTCTCAGGAGGCACTGCAAGTCACAGGCTGGTTGCTAAGTGGTTGACTCTGCTTGGGTGCCAGTGCGGGTGTGTTTTACAGGATTGTTTTACAGTGCACCAAAACACCAGCTTTGCAGTAGTGTTACTGTGGGAGGGAGATCACATCCCACAGCTCTGCTTTCTCCTGCATAAAAGTGTTTTTTTCTGTCTGTTGCTGTCTAGCCTGAGCAGACTTGGTTGTACTCTGTTCACGTCCAAAGCACACCAGCTTCCCAACCAGTCACTGTCCACTTTTTGAAGAAACATATTCAGGCTTCAGACCTGGTTTTGTCACTCTCTCTCTTTTAGCATCCTTCCCTTTCCTGGTCTGTCTGATTCACGTTTGTTTATGAATTTTATATCATTCAGCCACGGATCTTTTGTGTTACAAACTAGCTCAGATACAGAGGGAGAACAGTTGTCATAAATAATGGTTAACAAAATTTCTCTCAAATGACTGCTAGTGCACTGTTTCTGGGATATGCCCACTCCCATGTTAAAAATACCCTGGCACCCTGCAGTCAGATTCCTGGAGAGTGCAGCTTAATTCAAGTTTGACACATTACTGAACAGTAAGACAGTATCTTCAATAAGATTGGCAACTGCGGAGTAAGGCTGCTCTCCCTGCCATGTGCAGTGGTGTCTGTGCTGTCGATTGGGTCCCGTTTGCCGTTGCTGACAGGTTCAGTGGTCTCCTCGGAAGAATTTATGGGGGAGGATTTGTTTGTTACTAGCTGCAAGCTTGCCTGTGAGAGAAAAGACAACAGAGCATTTTGCTATTAGCAGCTTAAAACTCCATGCCGACTCCAAATGCGACGTCCAGCTCCCACCTATCCGACAGGCCATCTGCACTTGGCATTGCGCACCTTTGGCAAGGATAGCTTTCTGCCTGGCCAGTCCTCCTTTGTATCCTACCTATTACTAAGGAGAATTTCTTTTTCAAGATGCCGTGTTTTCCCTCTGTGGTCAGTCATGCTGCTCAGACAACAGGACTTGGAAATGTGCTTTGCCAAAAGAAATCAATTAACCTGCAGGAATCACAAACGCTGGTGTCACACGCCAGAGATTAAACCCATTCATCACCAGCAGGGTCAGGGCACGCAGGCCAGATGTCACAGACCTCTCTAATGAACTAATATGGAAGCAAAGAAGTGTAACGCTGCTCTCTGCAGCTCTGCCCATGGAAATTAAGCTTTCCCTGCTTTAATTTCCATGCCTCTGTGAAAAGTAGTTCAGGGTTTTATTGCTAGGATTTTTTCGTTTGTTTGTTCCTTTGTGTAACGGTCTCTAGGCATTTGCTTAGAGATAATTTCTTCCAGGCAGGACAGAGTATCAGGACAGCAACCTCTCTTTCCTGTAAAGCTTCCTCCAGTTTCCACCACACTTCCTTTCAAAAACAGAATTTCCAGGCTTTCAGTGCCTCCTGACTTTTTTTACACTACTTTTATCATTGCCACAATTCCTGGCATATTTTGTAGATTACTTTTTTAGCACAAGAATTCCAGTCAATAAGGCTGCCGTTCTCACAAAAACACTCATAAGAAAAATTTCTTTATACAGCAATTCTTTTTTTTAAAATCACAATTCTTTTATAACGATTTTCTTACTGCTTCAGAAGTCTGACAGTTTAAAGAGGCTTTTAGTAAATGTAGGACTACCAGAGAAAACGATACAGTACATCACTGTAATATAATCCAGTAATTTTTTGTGCAATTTTTATAACACAAACTTAATCCCACGCTTCCAAAGTGATAAGAAAGAAAAAATGCTCAAGAATGGTTTCTATAAGAGCTCTTATGCACTAGTAAAAATAAATACTTCAGTTCTTTTTTAAAAGGACTTTTAACTACGACTCCTGCTGTGATTTTGCTTGACTATATTGTTGTTCCTTTCCTGTTCTGTAGTACTGCAGTGGAGGGTTAAAGCAGTCATATTTTATTTCCAAATATGACTGCACTCTGTACTGTATTTCTCTTCCTTGCTTGATGAGAGTTTGTGAGACCCAAGCTATACTTTTGACATCCTCTGGAAGACGATACATACAAGTACAGTATCTTGGCACAGCACAGCCCTACAGAAATGCATCAGAAATCTGATGACCTTACTTTTAGTCCCAGCTCCATCACTGATACCTGTGCAGCCTTGGCAGATACCAGCCAGAAGGCAACTTTCAGAGGTCAAGAGTACTTCAGGTACTTCACTCGTTGGATGTAAAAACTCAGCACTGCCGAGAACTGCATCTGTCGTCTGTGTATGTCCTCTTCCTTGCTCATAATGCAGATAACTTGAAAAAAACAAAGCTTCACCCTAGAGAGCTGCAGAAGAAATGCCTACTTATTAGAAGCAATGGCTTCACCAGCAATTGGGAAGAATGTGCTGGTTTTATTATGCAAAGGAGAAAAAAAAAGTCCTTTCCCCAAGCTGTGACAACTTTTGGCAGCCAGGGCATATAAATCACTGTAATGTAATTAGCGTGTAACATGATTCTTTTTTGGGCAGTCAGCGTGAGTGTCAAGCATCTGGAGCTTTGCTGAGCAATGATCCTCTGTCTGCACAGACCTGTAGGACCACTGATGCTCTGCCGCAGGCGCAGGGTGATTCTGCAGTCCTGTCTCCAACAATGGCCACTCCCAGTTGTTGCTGGATTTTTCCTGAGAAACACCACCCTGTGCAGGTGCAGGATAATCTACCCCTCAAAGGATTTCTCTTTTTTTAATCCCTCTTTTTATACCTGGAAGCATGAGATTTTCTGGTTTTTTCCCATATCCTTGCAGAGGTACAGAAAGATGCTCTGGATGGATATCCAAGTTTTATAATTATTCAGTCCTTCTCTGCATCCTGCATGATATATGCTGGATATTTTCGCCAAAGATACAGCAATGCAGATCAGGCAGCAGGATGCAACTGCAGTGTGTATCCCTAGCGCAGACATGAACAGGAATAAATAGCTGCACTGATGCAGCTGGTCAGAACAAAGGAATTTAAGTATTTAACTAGCTACCACTCAGCACTTCAGAGGGAGCATAAATGGTTCATCCATTTGTTTACATGACAAGAATCAGGTTATTTAAACAGCTCTAGTAGGTTTTTCTTCCCTCCTAAAATTAAAATTAAACATGTAATAAGAAAGAAAATTTACTCTTAACACCTTTGATCAGGTGTGGAAACTCTTGGTGAGTAGCAGTCCTGATTAACTTTTCATTTTTAAAGGGGTAGGTACAAGCAGTAGAAAGAAAATAGTCATTACAGACTAGATAGTGCAAGCCACAAAAAGAACAATCCCTAGTCCATACACCTTTTCTGCTGTCTTAAACACGGCGCATCTGCAAATTACATTACAGGAAAAATGAGAATAATCCATTTTCAGACTCTGTCTTCTGCCTCACATCAGGCTTATTTTTAGCCTTTTCTAGAACAAAATTATCTCCCAGTTCTCCTATTGCAGCAATTTGAAAGTGTCTGACCTTATTTTTGCTTTGCAGATTCTATTATGTGGGGCAGGGGAAGGGCTCGCAGAGTTGTCAACCCTCTTTTCTCTGATTTTTCTGTGGCAGCAGTTAGAGACAGAAAGGACCCCTCAGATGACCTCGTGTTGTTGCCAGCAAAGGATAGAGTCCCCTCCATTAATAGTGTCACA